CCTACACATACATGTACATGTACTGCCTATCATTCAAGAAAAAGAGAGAAAAAACAATAAAAAGAAATAACCTCCTAAGCATCGGGATTGAGATTCTGAACTTCTCGGAGGTTTCCGACTAAATCGGAAATATCCGAACCGTTAAAGTGACGAAAGTATGACGTCAGATAAAAAGTTCAGTTGACTTAGGACGAAACGATATTTTTATGGCATGGAGATTGCATTAAATTGTTGTTCGTAATTTTTTTTCAAGTAATTTGTTGCTATATAAGCCACCATGTGCATGTTGCTATGCAGCGCAAAGGATTATTGGGAGTTTGGAATATTTTCACGCGGTGAGATAAAAATTTCTTGGAACAATGTGCAGATTTCAACCCGAATTTCCTCCGTTCGTACACGTTAGTCTATTGAGCTCGCTACGCGAGCGGCGCTCGCTATAATGTATGATCTTTTTATTATCAATATTGAAATTACTGAAATGAAATAAATGAAAATGAAATGAAATACTAGTAAACAAATAAAAAAATGAATAATTAAAAAAAAAACAATGATAGAATACCCGGTAATTAAATAAAAGTACATGTAAATAATAGCGAGCGCAGCGAGCGTCGCGAAGCGACGCTCGTAACTGCGAGCTCTACCGACAACGCCTGGGCGAAGAGAAAATTCGGACTACTGCACATTCATTCTTTTGAATTTTTTGCCGCAGTAATTTTGACCCACAATGCATCACTTGCAAAGTTGCGTTCTCGCGAGAATGACGGCAAATGTTCAACAAAAAGTTTACTCGCCTTGATTAAATGGATACTAGTACATATTGAAGATAAATTGTAAACGTAACTTTTTTCATTAACTTTCAGCACTGATAAGTATTTTCTTGGTATTTGTAACTTACATACGACGTCATGTGACGTCAGAGTCTAGACGCACCAAATGTCACGTTAAAACAAATAGAAGAGTTTGCGCTCGCTCTAACGGTCGCACCGTCAACATATTAGAAAATAAATAGATATATACTAAATCATAACATATTCTAAACTATCAAAATTAATGACGTAAAGTTTTGATGAGTTACAATGACTTTGAGTTGTAATAGGAGTACCAGGGGTGTAAAATATATGCTATAGTACTTACAAGTAACCTCTGCTGTCGTTGGAACAGTAATATCTGGAGTAGTTATAGGAATAGTAGCAGTAGGTGGCCTTAGTTTGTGACACTGCAACAAAATCATGTCTATATACTAAACACTTGTTAATACTCCATACATATATACTAAAGAATTCACTGTTAATTCAATTATAAATAAAACATTTTCCAGTTTTTTTTTAAATAAATCATTTTCTATTAGATAAAGCCGATAAAAAAAATGAACCTTTAATTAATCTATGGTTAAAATTTTAATTAAACTAAAACTTACAAGAAATAAATATTAACCCAACGACAAGAGCTGCTGCCATCTTATATTTGTCGTTTTCTATTCTGTTACAACTTAACAGCACCGCCAGCAACATGCAATTGAATTCAATGGCATGTATTTTATATTTACTGTTTCTATTTTTTTTTTAGAAAACAGCAAACAAATAAAACAAACTTAGGTATGTTCGGAGTTTGTAGCCGCCATTGAATATTCGATACAGTAATTTAACTCAATTGATTTTCAAGTCCTACCTATAGATCTAGAACTAGAGCAGAAAAGTTAATTATGTTTATCAAACATATCTTTATAGATTTATTTTTTTTTCTTATTCTCAGACACAGGTACTTGTGGACAGCCCCCAAGTACCTGTGTTCCCAGATGTTATCTTACGGCGTATTTGCCCGCAATGTTCTTTATTTTTGATATGATATCCTTAAACATGCAGAAAGTTTTTATGTGATGAATTCTTAATTGACAAATCTTCGTTTAAAGAACAGCAATGCCATAATTAATCCTATTGAAATGGAATCATCCTCAATCAGTATTCAAATCTTGACTCCCTTAGGGTAGTGTAAGGCTACATTGGTAAATCAACGTTTTACATAGGGATCTGTTATACTCTTATAAATGTCTTTCTGTATATTTATTACTAATAAAAAATCCAACAAAAGATATGTTTATTACATCGGTCTAACAATTTCACTGTTGACTGGCCTGCCGGTCCAACATAAGAATTGTTAGACCGCAACGTCACTGCTACGTCACAAGTAATTAATCATCGTTCAATATCGGCGACACGGAAATAGCCGAAGTTAAGAGCTGCAAGAGTTGTTGCTACCAGCAAGGTAAGGAAGAAGGGAAGAGTATGTTTTGTGATAAATAATTTTTGTGATATAATAAAAATATAATTAATTTTGTTCTTTCTCAGCTATTGTTTTATATTTACTGAGTAAGCCATAATTTTCCATATAAAGTAATTGATAATATAGTGTGTATTGATTAAATCTTAAGTGAGCACTGAAGGGTATCACAAAACAGTTATAGACTGGGATTCGGGCAACACATGATTTGTTGGACCTGAAGGTGAAAATGTTGCTCTTGGCCTGCGGCCACGGGCAACATTTTCACTAGGGCTGGGCAATAATATCGATATTTCAATATATTGCAACACAATGACAAAGAATATCGTATCGCAATACCATTTTGTAATATCGATATATTGGCAATATACTTAGATTAAGGAAATTTGTCATTAAAAATAAAAATGGACTTATGAAAGTGTGTTATTAAGCCAAACAGTAAGTCAGAAGTTGTTTTGTTGGAACATTTCAGAGCATAACTTAACTGAAATCAACAAGATTTTTTTCCATGTTGGTTACTTATCATAGTTATGTACATTCTGCATGTAAATTAAAGTAAATTTAGTACGAAAATGCCATTTTTATTACCTTGAAAATATTGCAATACATATCGCAATACGCTTTAAAATATCGCAATATATCGCAATACGAAATCTCGGGCCAATACCCAGCCCTAATTTTCACCTTCAGGTCCAACAAATCATATGTTGCCCTCATACCCAGTCAATAACTGCATAATATATGATTGGAAAAATCTGCTGATGACGAATAGGAGGGGATATTGATTCAGGTGAGCGCTGTGGTCTATAAGCCTCTTGATGAGTCTACATATTTTGATGACACGTCACTCTCTACCATTTGAGGTAAAAAATATTTCTGAAGATTAATAAGGATAGTTTCAGATGGCCAGACTTTTGAACATTACAGACGGTTTACAATTTCCTTATATTCTAGACATTTGTTATTCACACCATTTGCAATGAAATTAGGCCAAAAAATTTATATCGATGTAGACAACCATTTTTTTGTTTGTATCATCTGTCGTTAAAAGCAGTATGGCCCTCTGAATTCATATCCTTAATTTATCTTAATCATAAAATTAATTTGAAGCTACATGTACCTATGATGAACAGCGCGAGACCACTAAGTACTGCAACTGATGGCAGATGTCATTCGCTTCCTCTATTAGCGCTGAAATTTCGGATAAAGCATTTCTTGATCTAACATTTTTCTAAAATAACTTTTCTTATAAAGACTGATCAAGATATCTGTATGTAAATTCATTGGCCTTATCGTAAAGCGTAGAGAGAATAAAATAATCAGAAGACTAAAACAATTACTAGTAGATTTATATTAGTAACATCTTTAAAGGATCTAAAACCAGGCGACGCATGCGTTCCTTGCTGGACAGACTCTATCGCAGTCTTATACTATATGTGTGGCTGTTGTTTGTGCATTTATGAATTATCATGCTAGATTTTTTTGCTTGAAATACTGTATATGCTAGTAGCATATAAATAACTGACCACTCTCAGTCTTAGATTTAGTTACATCTTCAAAGAAACTACAAGTCACATCATACCTCAAAAATTTAAGATGTACATCCTATAATTTATTCGAGTGATTTTTTATTTTTTTTTTTTGTATTATTTGTAATAGAAGAAAGGTTTTTTTCTTGCTGACCCCACCCCCTTTTCTTTGTCTTTTTTTTTTTCAAAACACCTTTCACATTCTATAAACATAACTCTATATTGTGTGTAGACCCGATGTTATTGTGTACCAAATGATGAAAATTATTTTATATGTACACGTGAAAGTGTTAAATTAATAAAAAAAAACAGTTAGCGCTGAACAGTGTGTAGATGTGCATATTGCCAGGTAATTCCGATGTCAGTATTTTCTGGAATTTCGGTACTTTTCAACTTAGATTTTTGGCCATATTTTGAATATAGAAACGAACAGTTTGTTAGTTCAACTCCTCCTAAAACACCGCAGTGTGTATAGAGGTATATATTGCCATGGAAATTCTAATTCCATTATCTATCTAGAAACAACAGTACCCATTTAAATTTAAAACAGACAAAGATTTGATTGTTCTTATATGCAAGGGGTTTTTATGTTCTGATTTTTTTGCGATTCTTTTCAAGAACCACTGAACCAAACAACTTGAAACATATGTGAATCGTTGATTCAAATTTTCGTTTCATTGAAATCAGGCATCCAATGGGTAAATAAATTTTAACGCTCTCCGTCGAGTACACTGTAACTCGATACTGTACTACTATGTTATCTTTTTCATTATATAGATTCCTCCACTCAGAGAAACCTATGTCCAATAAATTATCTACTTAATACCCAGTAGAAGAAGATTTTCTCTCAAGTGTTCACATGAGGTATTTGAAAAAAATGTTAATGCTACATATAAATTTTGAAATATTAACATTAATTTTGGTTTCAAATGTCTTTTTAAAGGAATAAAAAGTAGTAATTCTTCTATAAAATAAACGCACATGTAAATTATTTTAATTTTTTTGTTTCTTGTTATGATATTTAATCATTTAATCTGAAACATTTTATAAAAACGACCGTATCAAATATTCTAAACAGAACAAAAGGGACACAACTTTTACGTCCATTTCCTTGTTTGGAAAATTGAATCAAGGTACGGAAAGTACTGAGAGTGCTAATTTCATTTCCAAGTTCATTATAGGAATCAGTTCTGACGTTAATGGGGAACCGGAGTGAGTTATCTTATCTTGCACCGTGAGAGGTCGCCACAGGAAAATGCGGTCCAACACAAAACAGCTGATAATGGCATCTCTTCATCTTATCAGTATCAGTATTCTTAAAGAAAGCGAACGTGTTTTATATTGTCTTAAGTGGAAATTCATTACAATGGCAACTAATTTTGGTTCAATGACTATTCCTGAATTACGAAAGGAACTCGAAAAATTTGGTGCAAAAAAATCGGGACGAAAAAGAGAGCTTGTAGAAAGGTATGTACGCAACATAACAATGTTTAACATAGCAATGATTCGTGTTTTACTTAAAATACTGACTTGATTATTCAATTCAGCAAGAAGTAAGGAAGATGTAATATAGAAAAGACAATTATTAAATTCAGTTGATAGTTTTACGCGACAAAATGTATTGCAGAACTTAACTAGCTGGTTTTACGATATAACCCGAATTTCCTAGGCATTTTTTCTACGGGCCATAAATTAAAAATATACGTAATATTTTATGATTTTCTGGCAATTTTTCAAATATATGCCTCTCTGAAATATATTTTAGAAACAATGGTTAACCTGGTTAATTTTTTTTTCATAGAAAAATTGTCAAATAGGCACATGTATCAATGTTATACAACAGCTTATTTGTTTTTATACAGGCTTGAGGCATACACACGCAATGCTCACTGCTCCAGGACAGACCTTACTGCTGCTCAAGATTATGTGATGGTCCTACCTGATCCTCAAAAATATGAAGATCTGAACAGTGACAAGAATTTTCCTGGGTGCAATATGGATAATATTACAACATACTTGGCACAGTTCAATAAAAATTTAGAATCCAAAGCGAAGAATTTGTACAACGATGGATTTATCAAGTACATCCGTACCACTGAAAACAATGCCCTATGGTATGTTAGGAGTGCCATCAGAGCAGATCGAGATGTCAAAGTCTGTAGTTTATACTATAGATATTGTAATGGAAAATGATGGCAATATTACAGAATGTCAGTGTGAGTGTGCAGCAGGAATGGGACCTCTAGCACACTGTAAACATATATGCACAGCACTGTTTGCATGCCTTTCATTCAAAACACACGGATCTGTGAAAACCGAACAAACATGCACACAAAGGCTGCAAACGTTTCATAGAGTGAGGCCACATAGAGGAACCCCTATGAAAGCGAATAACCTGGACATGCCTGGATGTGATGAAATTTGTAATTTCGCAGATGGATTTGATCCTAGGCCTTTCGAGTATAGGAATAATCTAGGATACAAGTCTTACTTCCAGAATGTATGCCTTTCATATCCAGGAGTAAGCAAGACCCCTATATTTCAAACTTTCCCTCCAGCAAACATGAGGGGCATTGATGTGGACCATGACTACTTTACTCTTCAAGGAAGCTATGCGTATTTAAATGAAATAAATGTTTCACAGATTACAGAAGAAGAGGCACGAATTCTGAATTTAAATACAGCAAAACAGGCTGCATGCAATATGTGGCATGAAGAAAGATGCAAGCGTCTGCACTCTTCTGTGTTTGGCAGAATTTGCAAAATGACTGATAGAACAGACAAAGTAAAATTAGCAGAGACACTTGTTACGAAACAACGCAAACTTCATTCTGCACCAATTCTCCATGGACAAAAGTTTGAAAAAGTTGCCATGAAAAAATTCCAAGACATTACTGGACATACAGTGTATGACACAGGAATATGTGTAAGCCTTACAAATCCGTATTTGGCCGCTTCACCGGATGGAATCATCGACGAAGACACTGTTGTGGAAGTGAAATGCCCTTATATTGCAAGGAACGAAATGATCTCCAGACAGACAGTCCCATACATAAGACAAAATGACGGCAAATTTTCATTGGACAAAAACCATGATTATTACTATCAAGTTCAGGGACAACTTTTTTGTGCAGAGAAAAAAATATGTTACTTTATTGTATATACATTCAATGATATTTTATTTTTCCCAATTCAAAGAAATGATAATTTTATTTCAGAGATGATAAGAAAACTGAATATTTTCTATGAAAATCATTTCAGGACTGCTGTTCTAGAAAAAAATTATTTCAAATCTTATGAAGACTGTCATTGTTCAAAATAAATTTGAAAGATTAAGATGCATTCAATTTTTTTTTTTCAATTTTATTGTTACAATGATGCACCAAGTTTGAAAAGCCAACATCAAATATAAAACCCAATATTGTATATATGTAATGAAAATAATTTATTTACTTTACTATGCATATGATGGGACAATACAAGTTTTAAAATTGCATAACATAAAACACACAAAAGTTATATGTGAGGACAGCTTTGTCTCTGAGCTATTCATAGGTTCAGTTAAAATTTTAAAAGTTTTAGCAAGACCAATGATTCGCTCAATATGCACCCTTTTGCTCGAAATTTTTCTGTCTTGAACTACAGTTGCACAAGACATTCTGTTCTTTTTTTTGAAAAATGTAGGTGTGTTTATCTGAATATTTTTATGAACAAACATGTCTTGCACATTGAATCCTTTATCAGCCATGATAGAGTCACCAGGATCACACAAATTCAACAAACTGCTACGTTCCACTATTTGTCTGTCGCTTGTAGAACCACCATATGCAGAAGATACATAAGAAACTAAGCCGCCAGGGGTTGCACCAACCAGAATTTTCACTGTGTTCTTATTTTTATATGTCGAGAACGTAGCTTGCTGGGATTTTGGTTGTTTTGGTTTCTTGATAGGACACTCCGTTCCATCAACTAGCACTCGGGTTTTAGGAAACTTTAGTTTAAAATCAGAGGGACAAAAATATTTCACAAGGGATTTAGGTGGCCATATGTCAACTTCTCTCCACTGTTTGGACATGAATAGAATCCAAGTATAGAATATATTCGATACAGTTTTTTCCGAAATACTGAATAATCTTGACAATTCAAAATTAGTTCTGTGTCGCCTCAATTTGATGAGAACAAGAAAAAATTGATCTGGGACACTGATATTTGTGACTTGGTGATATACATAATTTAAACAATAAGCTGCAGGACCTAAAGTTCTTAATACAAAATAAAATTTAGAGATTGTTTCCAAACCAGTGTAAAAATGAATACCAGCATCATCCTTTTCAAAGTTATCAATACACATTGGGGGAAATGTTGGCGTTTGTGTTCCTACATTTTGTCGAATTGTTTGCTGATCATCATGTTGACTCGAGATATTTTCATTAAGACTACTGCTGTAATCACTGATAGTTTCTTCTACAATATTAATGTCATCAAAAAAAAATTCTTCTGAACTTTGACTTGTAGATGCAATATCTTCTATTAATTTTCTTTTGACACCCCTTGTCCTAGCTCTGTCAGCTCTAGCAAGTACAGCTGGGCTTGTTGGATCTGCCCATTGGAAAAGGCTGGGTACTGCTGTTTTCCGTAACCTCTTACTTAAAGGTGTATTTCCTGAAAATAATATTGATATTTTTAAGCAAAAAATAAATATTTCAAAGTTTTATCCTTTCAGTATCGAAAACATTTAATGATTAATATGAACATGTGTATTTGTAAAAAAAAAAAATATTTATATATACATGTATATACATATAAGTAACTTAAGTAAGTTAGACTGAAGATGCTAATATATCTTTGTTTGATAATCAGTTTAGAGGATAAGACTAATATGTAATTAGCAAATGCAGTAGAAGACTTCATTAACAACAGGTGGTCTCATTGAACAGAGAAATTTACGATGCCAGATGTTTACACAGGGCAGTTATTTACGTATGTATGGCATGTTCCGATAGTGCAAATCAGCGGGGTGTACTGGCTTGGCATTTGATGTCAAGAGCTGTTGCAATTGTTTACGATCATATAATTTAACTATTTTTGGTTCATGAGAAATGAAAAACACAAATAAAAGAATTACGGGAGTTTACTGAAAGAAAATAATAAAACCTCAAAAATGTAATCCGCGAAATCTAACGTTTTATATGTATTCTATGCTTGAATGTTATCGATTTCATACCTACATTTTTAACATTTTATCTAAACTAATCTTCTGCATTATAAATTTATGTAAAATGTACTGATTTGTGATAATATTAAGAAATACACAAGATTTTCAAAGAATTTTACCGTGAACAGTCTCTGCTAAATAATCGCTCTCTTTGAAATGCGATCTGCACACAACGGCATAGGCAGAAGGTTCCCAGCTCTGGAAACGTGTTTCCCCTCGTCTAATTGCGTGAATCCATGATTTTCGTCTCGTTTGATCTGATGGGAAAGCATGTCCACCTCTATTACTACAACCAGGTACGCAACAGCAAGTCTCCGGCATGTTTCACGTGTATATATGACAGCGATTTGTTTATATGTGCTTAGCTATGACGTCACAGCCTACTCCACTGCGTTACGAAGGCTATGCAGCGGCTGTAGACATTGTGACTGTTGCATTTTGGGAGTAGGTGTCTAACATAAACAATATGGCGATTGTAGTATTATCAGATTAACCTGACAAAGGTAAATAGTTATGAATTGAGAGAAATCTAAAAAAAATAATTTCATTGGAACTTTACAAGCGAGAATGCAAAAATTGTTTTATGTGACCTAAGAACTTGAGAAGTGTAAAATGACGTCTTTATTGGAAATGCAATGTTATGTGTGCGTAATAAATGGGATTTTTATTATTGAAGCCCAAACCGATTTTTACTCGTATACAATCGATGTGATTTACCCGTGACTGCGTGAGTTACCGACGATGTTCATAATCTAAATACAGAAAATATGTCATTTCACAATGGCAATCCAAATAAGAAACAAGTTTTTGTCTGTGATCATGTTGATTTTCTGGCCAGCATTTGATTTGATTTGGAATGAATTAAACACAAAAAATGAAGGAAATGTATGCAACTCGACTGGAAACATAATTACTTATGGATGGTTGATGCAGCTGTGCCTTAAAACATTTACTAGGCCTAATTTTTGTCATCAAAACTAATCTGGATACCAA